CTGCCTTGTCGTGGAAATCCTCTTCCATAGAAACGACGACATCAGGAAATGGAGAGGAAAGTGTGGTCCACAGGGTATCCTGGTGGGCTTGCTTGGTCTTGGGCTTAAATAGATTCTCTGCCGTAATCCGGAGAGCGTCGCGTGCTGCGTTCTCTGTCAAGCATGTAACCATACTCGGCAACTGACCAGATCAAAAACCGACGCACCTGTTTCAATACGACAACAGTTTGATTGAAACTGAGTCTTCTGAATTGTACAGTGCTGTCACCTAGTTGACTCCTCCGTTGCTCATCCACCTGAAGTCATCACGCAACACATCGGATATCCGTTGTGTCTGAAGACAGGTCTGTTTGGAAGTAGCCGATGTATGGTGCGCATGTTTGCATGTCTACACTATTCCTCGAGCTATGTTTTGCGGTTCCTTTTGCACCATCAGAGCTGCTTCTACCAGATTGATCAATAGTCTGACTCCAGACAAACATTCCCCAGCTTGGGAGTGGCTCCTTGTGCCTTGCTTTGGACTAACTCTGGCCAAGTGCAAAAGGGCCACTAACTTGCAGTCTGATTTCTAAACCAAATGCTTTGGTTGAAAACCCTAGTCCTCCCTCTCTCTAGACCTGGGAATCTGACACTACCCTACCCATGCAGTACACTGAACTCTCTCGAAAACTTTATTGACGTTGTGCTTCTCGAAGAGGATAATCGACAGCGTCCTAGCTGTTGTTTTCAGCAAAGTGGCTAGGGGTAAATGCCACATTATGAAGGTCTTCCCGTCGTCTTCTTTCGCCTCTTCTCCTTACATCTTTATCCTCTCATTCCCACTTCCTATTTATACTCCCTTTTTTGACCCACAGTAAGTACTCTGCTCCATTTTGTTTTGGTAAGCGGTTACCTTCAAGTTTCGACAATCTCGCAATCACGGAATGTCTCTCCTGCCTCGTTTACAAGTCCATTTCCAACGAAGCCGACAATCACTGTTCGTCAACTTCAATTTAGAGCCTTCGATCCTCGCAAATACTGGAATGTCAGCGTAAGCGCTTTTCTGCAACTCAATAAGAGGCGGCACTTCTATGGCCAATACATGCTGCTTATCAGAAACCGGTGTGCAATTTTTGGGCTCTGTGCTTACTTTGATGTGACACTGGCGCCATTTTCTCACTACGTCTATCTGGAGATAATACAGCTCCAAGTGCCAATCAACGGTTGTATGCATTGCTCTGAGCGATTGACGTCTAATCGGTGGCCAGATGTGCGCTGTTCTACTGGCTCGTTCGTTCCGTTTTTAATTAGCGCGAGGACAATGGGTGCCGTTCCGTCATTGCTACCTACGCACCCACGAATTGTAGTGCTGGTTCTATGAACAAGCGCCATCGTCACAGAAGCAGTGATAATACTGAGTGCTCAAGTTGGAAACTTGTCCATTTGCCAGCTCTATCTGGTCGGGCGACACAGTGATGTGTAATGATGCGCTCAACGGGTGCTACACTTCTGTGAAAGTGTGCGTTTATTTCTCGCCAGCATCAGCCGGAAAGTGATATGGCGCCCACCACTCTCTGACCAGCCATGGACGCAGTGATCATACTACGGAACTGTCATTTGATATAAGAGGGAACCTTGGCCTCTGACCATGTGCATGTATGCATTGATCTCGGAATGCATTTCAGCGATGTCGACGCCTAGATATTTGCCAACTGACGAATCCTTTGTTTATTAAAGTATACTGGTATGCGGATTGTGTGATCATTCACTGGACACAGTTGAAGGTCACTGGTAGCAACTTCAAATTGTTATTAGTAGCAAGAATTGTATTCAGGTCACCAGTTTTTCTACCTGAGGTACTCTGACGATATTGCCCTAATTTGTGACAGTTCGCAAACGTACCAAGCAGCACTTGACAAATTAGCAATGACTGTCAAATGTCAAACATGAACGCGAACCGCAGCGCCGCGTTAAGACTAGTGCAAATAATTGAGGACAACTCGCTCGAATGCCCTCTTTAGAGAGCCTCTGGTGCGTAGTACGATTGCGACGTTCAACTGGAAGTAACGCATGCGACGCCCCAGATGTCCATCTCCATGCCATATGGACAGATAAGTTGTTGGTCACTCGCACGTTTCATCAGAAGCGACTCCTACTTTTGACATCTATTACCTATGGCATGCTCGGGTCACAATTTGTCCATTGCTTTCTTTTCCATGTACTTCTGTTACGCGCCTTCTATTCCATATTGCACAGTCTGAGTGATGTAGATGTAGTACTGATAACGTTTTCCCTTGTGTTTCCGTATCACCACACTACTCAGTAATCACCTGTTACAATCATCCGCTTATTAGGCCACATTGCTCAACTGTTATGCTCTCACCGGCTTACACCTGTGTAGTCTCGTGATGAACTCCGTGGTGATTCGGAGTTTCGACGGGAAACTCAACAGTCTCTGTTTAACATGGGCATCCGAATCGACAAACAAACATGCATTGTGTGACATCTTGTCATACCCAGCCCTTATCTGCCTTTCTCTTCAGGTTACTACTGGTCTTAGCTACAGTGTACGTGTGTGTTATGTCGTATCTCTAAGACTTACATCGCAGTGGATTTCCGTCTCATGCTTGCTGCGCAGATGTCTTCGTGTCTGCGCTTTTATTATAAGCTGTTTCAGCTGCCGCGGACACTAGTATTTGTAGGCTTATATACGGATTATTTGGTAGGCACTATTTGTTTGCTCACCATCAATTGTTCGCGTAACTAGCTTCAATATCAATGTGCTACCAATCCGTTTTAGTGACTTTTCCACAAACGACATATCTTACATACGTACGATATGCAGACAGACATTTCTGGCTATTTAAAGATCTGCGGATACCGTTAGAACCGGTTAGCTGTAATTTGTCCAATACGTTGTAACCTTAACGTTCCATCGTAGTTCGTGTGGTCCATCTTTTTATTAACTTTCCTCTCATACTATTAACTGCTTAATTTTCGTGACATATTTCACCATCATGTTCGCAGTTGGAAAGAATTGCACCTCTAGCACATGTTGAGTACCCTCCGCATATTGGCCCACACAGTTACTAGCCCAGCTAGAATCTCAGATCTTAATATTAAGCCATTTTAGTGTTCCAATTGATAGTTCCGTGGCGCGATTTTAGCTTAACTTCCAGATGAAACGGCGTGGTTCGCTAAATTCAGAACAATATCTCACTCCTCGTCAACAACTGGCTGATACGCTATTCAAAGTGCCAACTTTACTAAACAGGCTATGCGATTTATTGTCTCCACAAACACAAAATGAGCCGTTGGAACATCTATCTGAACCGCTCGTGGGCATACCCTGAGGTTATCGAGATTCTGACTAAACGCTACACTTGAATCCTCTATGTCGGAGACAACATGTGCAGGTTGATTATCATAGCACGACCGTTACTACCTCAGTTAAAAGAAGTTTTGTCTATCGTTTGGGGGAGGGTTGTGAAGGAGATGCACTAGGCACGTCCGCAGCACTTCACCAAACAGCGCTGGTGGTTTCATTTGTGGCCTACAGCTCATACTGAGCATTTTTCAAGGATTAGAACAGCCATGTTCCACTGCCGCGTATTTACACAGGAATTGGTGTAAATCATCACACATTTTCCGCGACCAACTCTCCGACACGTGAATAGCCTTAGCCGAGCTGCTATCCGTTGACATCTGGGAAGTAAGTGGTTCTTGCTGAAATTTAGAAGAGTGTAAGATTTCAATAAACGGCGATAGTGGAACTGACTCATTTGTTTGGAAGAGAGCTGATCATTAGTAGCGTGTCTCTCTTGGGTGTATATCACAAAAGACGATGCACCAATGTACGGAAGATGAAAGTAGGTATCCGACGTCCTGCCATCCATTTTCACCAAACAGCAAAGCGTCACTTTTTGCCATGCTTTTGGTCAAGCTGTTGGTTCGGACTGTAACAGCAGACATCTTTTTCTCATTTGCCCTCCTATTTACAAGTAGACCTTTAATGCGCTTTATTAATAGCAGTATGCCTATTACGTCCGCAAAACTGACCCTTTTCACCTCAGAACAGTGTGGACTGAGGTGAGATAAGCATAATTGAATCTGACAGTATGGCCACTTGCCACCTCAAGACGAAATGCGCGGCCGTTCTATTCATATTCGAAACAAATCTACGACCAATTCACCATAGTTCCATATTCGCAGAGTAGCTGAAGAGAATACAAGTCTACTCTGGCCCCGCGAGAATTTATCACAGTGAACAACGCCACTACTTAGTAGAGTAGACCCTACGCTGCGCTGTAAGCATACCTTAGGTTAAGGCAACAGCAGTATGTCGATACGCCGTACCGAAGCTTCACCGTCACGCAACCACCACCAGTCGCTCGTGCACCAGGGATACTGCGAGAATCGCCTGATCCCCTACATAGGCTTGACATCTGGGTTGCAAGGCAGACGCCTTGTTCTGTCAATCACGAGCCGATCGAAGCATACCTTACGACTACACTGCGAACCAGAGAGAGAGAGAGAGAGAGCTTTTACCGATTCAGCCCAAGACTAACGCAAAGTTATACACACGAACTAATTAATTCATCACACATTAATTCAACCCACATGGCATGAGTTTGACAAAACGAGAATGTGCAATGAACCCTGTTCAATTGGAATTTGGACTCTACGCGAGCGTGACTTTGATAGCATTGTTGACCTCAGCAGCAATTAATCCCGTTTACCTGATCAGTCACATGCAGTTGGCTTGTTCACACCGTTTTACACCATTAGTTCACAATGCGAGCATTTACTTCGTATTGGCCGAATTGGGCTACACCAGTATTGTCATTAGATGTAAATGTCTGGTGTCAAATCGCTAATTTAAATGCAGTAAACTCACCAGGGATGCATAAAATGATTTGAGGCCCGTACATCTGATTTTGAACATTCACTCGTCTTTGCCTGCAATTTATCGGTGACAATCCGATTGTTACATCCTTAATCGCACACCCACGCATTTTTAGATGGGATAAACCACATTTGTTGTATGGGAATTTTCTGGACCTGATTCGCTACATGGTCGCTTGGCAACCTGTGATATTAGGCGCGGTGCATGTTCTCAACAACTTTCTGGGATTAAAGTGATTGTCCTCAGGATGAGCACGCTGAAAAATATACAGATTTTGAACTCTGCTTTTTCTTCATTCTGTGCCAGTATGTCACACCGGTCGAACGCGGAAGATAGCTTAAGTGTGGTTATCTCCTTTTTCTTCGGACGCAATGCCACACTGGCAACTTTTGATTCCCACTCACTAGGCTGTTTTTAAGCTTAGTCGTTATCGTCATGCATCAAAATAACGGCATTCCGGAACGGTTTTACTTGACGCTGTCCCACGTCATGTTTTGGGACATGCTGTCTTCGTGAGTTTTCCAAAACAGCTCCTCTCGCTACTGTGTGATCTACAGCGTTGATCTAGTGAGCAACACGGCAATACATAACTCTCGGCTACGAGCTACGGGTAAACCGTGACCGTCATTTGCATTTGATTTATGGAATACAAGTGCTGTCCATGCCAGTCCTTTAGTCTATGATTCGTCGCGCGACAGTAGGCTCATTTCTGTATCATCGTGGTGTACTAAGATTGCACGCTGCATCTCACTACACTGAAGATGCCACCTTGCCTAGTGGTGAAACGTTTGCAAACAAACCGCGAAGCTCGGAGAACAAATGGACAATTGAAGAGTGGTCGTGTCTGATTCCTACTTCCACGTAAAGCCACACTGCGGCAGTATTCAACCGACCTTTGGTCGATAGGAAAACCACTCAATCTGCATAGACAATCGAGGCTTTGAGAAGCCACGTACGCTTTACCCACGCGCGCGGTAATTTTATCGGTACTTCGATCACCAGCGGTGACAGAACTGAAGCGTTCGGGCACTAGATATTCGTCGGTGATGAGTGCAAGTAGCACGTCGGTCCCGTTTGTAGCTGTATTAGACCATTAAATTTGCGAGTCGCGCATGGAGGTGTGCGACGCCCCGTGTCAGCATGTCCTGAGGCGCTTACTCGGCTTCATATCATCCCCAAAATATGTAGGCTGCGTGTTTCAGTTAGTCAGCTTCAGAGAGAGTATAAAGAACGGGTATTCACGTCCTTTCCAATTGCGATAGAGATCCATTTCCTCTTACTTTCCCATAGACTCAAACAGGTCCGAAGGTCGCTGTTTCAGAATTGTTGCAGTAGAAGTTATCGCTAGCATGCCTTTCAGATAGCGCCACCAGCTGATGAGGCGGTTAAGCGTGGCGAGCTGACCATGACGGGCCATCTGCGTGTGGGTTGGTGTCCGGGCATTTGAGGGTGGAAGGGATTCGGTCTGATTCCACTTTACCGAAGACCAGTGGAATTTTGCAGCACAATCCATGTGAGAAGCTTAGAGGCAAGTGAAACGATGCCAACTCCAGCATGGCTTTTATGCAACGTTGGGTGAATATTATTAAAGATTGCAGCTACGACCGACCACAATGGCGCATCATTGTGATGTATTCGGCGATTAAGCCGAAAATTATCACCATATAACAACTGATGGGTGAAGTCCTTGTGTGCAAACCACTTAGTATGTTTCCACGACACCAGTTCAAGCCGCATCTCGAACTCAAGGACTGTGACCTCGATTTTCCGTACAGGTTCAAGCGATTTAGGAAGTCACCACATTAGTTTATCGAAGTGCGTTCTCCTCCAGCGTTCAAGCTGGCGAGTCTGAGGAGGATTCGATCACCATTTCTTTTGTACAATTTCACCATTGTGGCCCTTCTGCCACCAATACTTAGGATGAGATGGAGCAACATTTTACAGGGACCGATGACGTTAGTTTTTTCCACACTATGGGCTCTTGTTTTCCGATAATTTTACACTGAACTGCACCAGCGATCTTGAGAACGGATGTAACCAAGACAGCGTTTTGTCTGTCTACCGCAGGTGACGCGATGCAACCGTTTGTAATGTTGTAAAGCAGTTGTCAATGTAAGGAATTTGACGCGCGTACGATGTTAGAAACTGATCACCAATTTGAGCACAATAAGGACTTGGACGCCGTCCTAAAGTGTTAAATTCACTTAGGCGTTCACTCCACTAGCATTGAGTGCGATATGTGTTCCTGTGTATACGGCTAAGGATTTCCTATAGACTTCTTCTTTGTTAGCTCCCGGGCCGAAGTTAGCTCAGGCGTGCACATAGATCATGTGTCCGGACGATGCCCGTTTATCACGACATGGCCTCAGCATCGAATATTACGTATGTGGCCATTCACCGGTATTCATTCGGATAGACTGCCCTCAATGTTCCCACTGAAAGCAATGCTGACAACGTAGGTATACCAGATCATCGACCCGTAATTGACAGTAACAAAAAGTATGGTCAATATCAGCAAGTACCGAATCGGGTAGTCGAAGATGCGTTACAGCACTACAGTCTCGTACGTGTGAACAGTAACGAGGCATTATCATTTGATCTATCTGATCTATACTATGAACGTTAAAGAAGCTAAAGCGAAATGCGATCCTTGATCTGAAGGGTAATCTAAACACGCGGCTAAACTAGTAAAGTTAGTGGCAGTATCTCACTTCTCGTTTCTGGAAAATGGATTTGAGTGGATGGGGAATAGACAAAATGCACTATCCATTGAGTTCTGAGGGGAGATTTGCACGGAGATCTTGCCTCTAAACTCCGACCTGCAATGCAACCTCTAGGAACTTCGCCTGGAGTGTACGCCACAACAATCCGACGTACAATGCAAGCAGAGACGTATCTGTCGCAGAACTCGGTCCCTCATAGACACGGTTTATTCGGCAAATGAGCTCAGCAAAAATGACAGCCTGACAAGCATTAGCAACCTCGATATAAATAATTAAGCCATTACCATAACTGACGACGCTGCCGCACTCATGAGATTCTTTATTTGAATCAGTTAAACAAGCCCGCTCACGCGGACCATTCAGCCCTAGACGAACCACGCGTAGGCATCGAATCAACTGTTCTGTTCGCTTTCTGCATGCTAACCGCTTGTTTGCACAATCTGTTCACATCCTTTTTTCAGGATCAGCTGCGTCGGTGTCTCAGTAGACTCCATACGCTCTTCCACTCTGTGTCGTCTGCTGCCTCTGTCGTTGTAACCTCTCCGTAAGGCGTCAAGTGTTTTGCTGCAGGTTCTCCTCATTCACGGTGTCGCCTCAGCTATACTCGGTTACTTCTGATTACCCCTCCGGTACTGACTTCATAAGGTCTTTCTCCATACTTCGCAGTCACTACACCTTTCTTTCATCGTTTGCTGACATCCGGTATTGGTTAGATCCACACTTCGTTATTTACTGATAGCTCCGGTGGCGCCCGGGTCCCGCGGTCGTAATGCGGTTTCTGATCTACCATTCGTTTTCTTAAGCCCGTTTGCATTTGCTCATGCGGAGGCGAGACATGGTGTAAGAGTTCAGCGGACGCAGGCATTAGGGTTCTTGTCATTCTGTTGTACAAAGGTTGCACTGGACCGAGACCGATGTTCGTTAATGGCGTATTGCGAATCTCCAACATTAAGTACGGATTCTCATGAGTGGCTCTGACTTTCGACAACAGCCTCCTGGCTCGTTTGACCGCTGTCTATACTTTTTGATTAGGCTGGCTGTGATACGGGCTCGTTTGTCGATGCGAGAATTCCCGCTTTTTCGCGAAAGTCGAATGCGTCGCTTGTAAATTGCGGGCCATTGTCGGAGATTAGTTTCTCCGGTATTCTATGTCTGGTGAACTGACATATAAGCTTGTTGATGATTGCTTCCGTGGTGGTAACGGTGAGTGGATTGATCTCAAAATAGTCACTGTAATAGTCTGTAGGGATCAAATAGTCTTTCTCGTTGCCACAGAACAAGTCCACCGCTACTTTCTGCCGTGGTCGATGTGGCATCTCACGCAACATCTTTGGTTCCCTGGCTTGGCGTGCATCCTGGGATCGGCAGATTGAACAGTTTTATCATTGTCTCGAATTTAACTTGTCATTCCGGCTTAGAACATCAGTTCACGGGCTCTACTAATACTGTAATCGACACCCAAGTGGGTTCGATGAGCGTGTTCTAGCATTTCTTTCCGAAGCGGTGATGGTATCAGAATGTGATTTCCTTTAAATAGTAAACCATCATACACCGTTAATTCATCCCAAGAGTTGAAGAACGGGGTTAATTCCTTCGTAACTTTATCCTTTGTATTTGCGCATCCCCACAAAATCACGTTGCGCAACGCCACGCACGTCGCGTCTGCCTCCATATGACTATTTATCTCTTTCAAGCGATCTGTCCTTACCGTCAGATGTCTGTATCGAGTTCTTCCTGTTGGTGTTCGACTATCGGAAGATGAGCAATCGAGAGCGTCTGCGATGAGCATATGCGTTCGCGGAGTGTACATCAGATCCATGTTGTATTTTTGGAGCCGGATATGCATCCGTTGAAGACGTCGAGGGACACTGTGTAACGGTTTACTAGCTATTGACACGAGCGGTTTATGGTCAGTATACACTAGTCTTCCTTCCAAATGTGTAGTTGTTGAATCGCTCTAATGATTAGACGATAGCAAACATCTTTTCCTTCTGCGCATAACGCTGTTCCGGCACTGTAAGCGCCCGACTGCGGAAATCCAGGGGTTTACCATCCTGCAGGAGAACGGCACCTATTTTCCATTAGATACTGCCACACTGCACTTCGAAAGATAGAGCTGCATCATTGTAACCAAGTACTGGTGCAAAGCTAATAATGTAGTGGGGACCAAGGCAACAATCACGCAGGAGATTAAAAAGCCACTAGAACGAGGGAGGACCGAAACGGAAGCAGACATCATGCACGCGATCGGACAGCGCAACCCCAGCCCAACAATACGAGAGCGGAACGCGAGCAACGAACGAGAACGTGCTTGATCCAAAGAGGGGATGTTTCGATAGGCCAATAAAGCGAACAGAAACATCTTTGTCGGTGTACCCTGGAGTAACCCCAAGCCGAATAACGCAACCGAGATCAAGCAAATCAAGAGCTTTAGAACAAATCCAGGCTGGTCAGAATGCGTGCTACGGAAGCAAAGCTTCGGGGACAGACAGGCAACCAAGGCCGTGAAATATTCCGGCTGAATAGGCACGAATGTAGCATGTTGTGATTCCTTATGTA